GCACCAGGTCCAATAGGCTCTTAATCCCACCCTGCCTCCTGCCAATAATAATACAGAAATATAATTTATTAAGAAAACAAATAGGGGGGAGGAGCTTGGCAGCCGATCCGAACGGACGCAGGGTAGATGGGCTCCGTGCTTATCCAGAGCAAACTAACAATTTCCAGCCACCAAACTGATGATAACAACGCCCAAACAACCCAAAACAATGGGAAGGAAAACCAAGAGACAAAAACCGGACCGACCCAAACAGGGGGCCAACATAAGAGACCTCTTCAACCAGGCACAAGGTGCATACGGCCCCAAGATGGCCGCCGACCTCGAGGAATTCTCTGACTCCTCAGGAGATTTCTACCCTGAGGAAGCCATTACCACCCTACCTCTGGGGAGGCCTCAACAGCAAGCACCATGTCCAGAGGCTGCAGAACCAGTGACTGCGACGCTGCTGAAGACTCTCCTGGGAGACTTACAGAAAACCCTCCAGGCAGATGTCGCTCAGCTACGCGCGGACCTCACGGGCCTGGTGGGCCGTGTTCAAGCGGTCGAACTCACCTCCAAGCGGCAAGCACAGGAAATATCAAAGCTCAGGCAGGAATTGCAAGCTTTAAAACAAAAGCAGGCCAAAACTGACCAATGCTTTGCTACAATAGAAGACAACAGGCGCCGCAATAACCTCAAGATACGCGGGATCCCGGAGGACATACCCGATGAGGAAATCCCACACTTTCTACGGAGGCTCACGGGAGCCCTACTGACGCCTAAGCAAGCCAGGAATATCGGCTTCCGGATCCCAAAACCCCGGAGAGCCCCTGAGGCAGCCCCCAGAGACCTGGTGGTGAAATACAGAAGCACGACCGACAAAATGGCGAAACTCACAGCCCTGAAGGGAGCAGCCACCTACAGCTTTGAATCGATGACCCTGTCCTTCTTTGCAGACCTGTCAGGGGAAACCCTACTGCACTGGAACCAACAGCAACGGTTCCGAGATGGCATCCAGCGAAGACAATCCCCTTCTTCCCACAGGGTACGGGAAAACCGGGGTGCGCGGCAGCGACCTCGGGAGGGCCCAGCGCTCACACCAGGACATTCTCCCATAATGCAGAACAATATAATACGGGACTGATAACCTGAATGAACACTCTCGTACACCTACACGGCAATAACACCCAGAAAGAACCCTGACGGTTTTTATGTATTTTTCGTTTTTATAGTTTTGATCACTGGCTCTTCTCTTATTTTCCTTTTTAAACCTTATGATATGCATCCTAATATGTTTTTAATGGCTGCCCTAGACTCACCAGGATAGGCTTTAAGGGAACCGACCTCGGGACACAATTATTTTCACAAATGATGCTCACTAAGCAGCCCCAATGCTTCCCTAACTTCTGCACCCACATAGCCCACCGACAAAGTCCAGGCCATGAGGAGCCCGCTCACCTTTTTGTCCCCACGTCTCCATCCCCCCCATCCCCCAGGGTCACAGGGAAACTAACCTACTTGGCAGACCGCAGACCTCGACCCCCCCTCAAAGACGCGTCCCACATCGAATAGTCCCCACACATTAGTCAGGCGGACTGCCGAGTACACAATAGACCACTAGACAAGGTATACACTAGTAGCAGGAGGAACTTGCACGACATTGCCCAGACCACTCACTGCCCATCGCATACACCAAGTCGCCACAGTAATGGCACGCTAGACAACATCCATACATGCCTTTAGGGCCAATGTTTAATTATTATAAAAAATGTGCAGTCTACAAACAGCCATATCTTTGACCAACGATGATTGATATTGTTATTATTACACTTGTTTCAGATAACAACCGTTCGGGACATCACTATATATATATATATATATATATATATATATATATATATATATATATATATATATATATAGAAGTCAGACTATTTGTTGTTTTGCCTTCAGTAATTGTTTATTTGGGTAGGAAAATGTACTTGCGGTCAGGCCAAAGGGACCTTTTACTATCTTTGGAACCACTGAACGGATTTTCACGAAATTTGGATATGTTTGTCCCCAAGTTATACTGCTTATAATAATATAAGTTTTATGCATGTACAATATAAATTCAAGAAGTTTTGAAAATATATAAAAAGTTTAACTTTTCAGCTTGGAGATAATTTAGTAGATACAGTTATCTCCGAAGCAGAGGGGAGGAATTCACTGTAACTGTATTGTTGGTGCCCCACAAGGTCCAGTGTGTGGTGTCTAACCTGTAAAATCCTGCATAAAAGCAGCAATAAACGCTCAGTGGAGTCAGTTCTTCTTCACCCTTCAAAACGTAGCTGTGTCTCGTTGTTGAAAGGGAATTTGCAGCTTAATCACTAGCTCTTTTCAGAGCTCTGCCTCTCTATTGCTCCAGGGATCCAGCGGATGGGACTTCACCTCTCCCCTACAGCCCAGCATCTTGCCCGGAGGAAGGACGTCGCCAACGGCAGATACCCCTCTCTACCCTGGGTAACCGTTACACTCACCATCTACTCTTTTCCTACTCACAAGCACATTAACCAGCAGTGGTGTACATACCGCGGTTCCCACCATCTGTTGCAGGCCCTGGCCCAAGCGGTATAACCGCCGGGGCCACACGTTAAGGTGCCCATTGGGTGGTCCATGCTGTTAGGGCCACCCAATGGCTATGGGTTTCCAGGGTGCCCGGTCAGTGCTTTGTCGATTTAACAGTGCAACCGGGCCCCCTTTGATGACATCACAGCTTGGAGGAAGTGATTGCCCCGTCACTCCTCCCAGCTTACAACGGGAGCTCTGACTCCCATTAGGCTGAGTCACCACTGGACAACAGGGAAGTCACCCTCCTGCATCTAAAAGGTAGGAAACAGGAGGGTGACTAAACTATTTTATATGTGTGTGTTTATTTGTTTTATGTATGTGTGTGTGCGTGTGTGTGTCTGTCTGTTTGTATGTGTGTGTCTGTATATATATATATATATATATATATATATATATATATATATATATATATATATGTCTCTGTGTGTGTGCGTTTGTATGTATGTATTGTCTGTATGTATGTATGTATGTGTGTGTATATGTATGTATGTATGTATGTATGTATGTGTGTGTGTGTGTGTGTGTGTGTGTGTGTGTGTGTGTGGTGGCGTACACTCCAGGGTGGGCCGCCCTGCGGATCCCTGCGACCGGATGCCCACCACTATGTGTTGCGACCCCTGCCCACGCAGTGTAAAGGTCACAGATTAGTTTTCGCACCGGGGCCCCATAGATTGTGTTTACACCACTGTTAACCAGATATGTATTTCTAATTTTATAGTAATCCATTACAAAAGGTACATTCGGATGACAAAAAACAAGCAAGACAAGAATTTATTAAAGTCGCAGAGGGGCAGCTACTCCTACTGGACCCGAATGTCAAGTAGATATACAGATGTTCCAGGTCAGTGTAATGGTTTTGAATTCAGAGCTGTTTTCAGACATATTTAAAGGACCACTCTAGGCACCGAGACCGCTTCAGCTTAATGAAGTGGTCTGGGTGCCTGGTCCAGCTAGGGTTAGCCCATTTTTTTTATAAACATAGCAGTTTCAGAGAACTGCTATGTTTATAATAGGGTTAATCCAGCCTCCAAATCCTCTAGTGGCTGTCTCATTGACAGCCGCTAGAGGCGCTTGCGTGCTTCTCATTGTGAAAATCACAGTGAGAAGACGCAAGCGTCCATAGGAAAGCATTGTAAATGCTTTCCTATGAGACCGGCTCAATGCGCGCACAGCTCCTGACGCGCGTGTGCATTCAGCCGAAGGGGAGGAGAGGAGGCGGAGAGGAGGGAGGAGAGCAAAATATATGTTATATACAAGTCCTTTTGAAACAATAGCAATATACTAAGAGTTTTTCATATGTTTCACCCTTTAGGGCATGTGACAAAAGGCCTTTTGTCACTGGTTTTTCATGTGACAAACTAGACTGTTCCCCTGACTTATGGAGAAGCCTGATTGCCAGCCTCCTTCCCCAAGATTATGGCCCTGGGGTGTATGGCCCTTACAAAACAGTTTATGGGCATGTTAAGAGCTTTTGTGGCAATGCCTCTTTAAAACTGTGTCCCCAGTGTCCCTCCTCAACCTCTCATCAGCCTGTGCTAAATTTTAACCGCATGGCGATTTTATTCTGTTTGTGGGATCTGAGCGCTGTTCGGATATATTGAGCGCTCAGATCCAAGCTATCTGGGGATAGGTTGAATGTGGGGTTTCTGTTCAGTGTAATGGGAATTATGTATTTTTGTGTATTTTTGCTGCTGTTGTGAATGGAGATATTTTCTGTACCTGGAGATAATTGGCTTACCACACCCAGTTAAGACAATTATCACCAGGATAGAGGAGAAGATAGATCGGTTGCAAAGCCTAACTCTGTGGAACTGGTTTGGGGCAGGAAAACCAAAATTGCAGTCGGTCAAAAAGGACTTCCATCTAACTTTTGAACCACTGGACCAATTTGTATGATATTGATGATTGATATTGTTATTATTACACTTGTTTCAGATAACATGGCATCTCCCAGCATGTAAAATAACTTGTGCACGTGAAAACTAAAGAATAAAAAAAAAAAAAGAAAGCAAATAGGATTCCAGCATAGAGCACCTCCAGTCTTACAGCTCCAATAGTGCTGGTAAAGCAGATTAATTGCGCCATTACGACGTTCTACACTGGTAAGGAAATGTTAGGCCTTTTCCTTCTAATCTTGGCCTATCCACTTCAATGCAAATTTCAATGGACTCATGGACTCATGGGCTTAAAATCTTCATACCAACATATAGTATAACTGTTTTATAGTAAGGTAAACTAATGGCTCACTATAACAAAAAACCCCAGTTAACCAGTATGATGGCTGCTTATATATATAGTGATGTCCCGAACGGTTCGCCGAACGGTTCGCCACGGATGGCGAACATATGCGCTGTTAGGTCCGCCCCCTATGTCATCATTGAGTAAACTTTGACCCTGTACCTCACAGTCAGGAGACACATTCCAGCCAATCAGCAGCAGACCCTCCCTCCCAGACCCTCCCACCTCCTGGACAGAATCAATTTTATATTGATTCTTCTTAGCTGCATTCTTAGTGAGCTGTCCAGGAGGTGGGAGGGTCTGGGAGGGAGGGTCTGCTGCTGATTGGCTGGAATTTGTCTGCTGACTGTGAGGTACAGGGTCAAAGTTTACTCAATGATGACTAATAGGGGGCGGACCGAACAGCGCATATGTTCGCCGTCCGTGGCGAACCGTTCGGGACATCACTATATATATATATATATATATATATATATATGAAGTCAGACTATTTGTTGTTTTGCCTTCAGTAATTGTTTATTTGGGTAGGAAAATGTACTTGCGGTCAGGCCAAAGGGACCTTTTACTATCTTTGGAACCACTGAACGGATTTTCACGAAATTTGGATATGTTTGTCCCCAAGTTATACTAGTTTTATGCATGTACAATATAAATTCAAGAAGTTTTGAAAATATATAAAAAGTTTAACTTTTCAGCTTGGAGATAATTTAGTAGATACAGTTATCTCCGAAGCAGAGGGGAGGAATTCACTGTAACTGTATTGTTGGTGCCCCACAAGGTCCAGTGTGTGGTGTCTAACCTGTAAAATCCTGCATAAAAGCAGCAATAAACGCTCAGTGGAGTCAGTTCTTCTTCACCCTTCAAAACGTAGCTGTGTCTCGTTGTTGAAAGGGAATTTGCAGCTTAATCACTAGCTCTTTTCAGAGCTCTGCCTCTCTATTGCTCCAGGGATCCAGCGGATGGGACTTCACCTCTCCCCTACAGCCCAGCATCTTGCCCGGAGGAAGGACGTCGCCAACGGCAGATACCCCTCTCTACCCTGGGTAACCGTTACACTCACCATCTACTCTTTTCCTACTCACAAGCACATTAACCAGCAGTGGTGTACATACCGCGGTTCCCACCATCTGTTGCAGGCCCTGGCCCAAGCGGTATAACCGCCGGGGCCACACGTTAAGGTGCCCATTGGGTGGTCCATGCTGTTAGGGCCACCCAATGGCTATGGGTTTCCAGGGTGCCCGGTCAGTGCTTTGTCGATTTAACAGTGCAACCGGGCCCCCTTTGATGACATCACAGCTTGGAGGAAGTGATTGCCCCGTCACTCCTCCCAGCTTACAACGGGAGCTCTGACTCCCATTAGGCTGAGTCACCACTGGACAACAGGGAAGTCACCCTCCTGCATCTAAAAGGTAGGAAACAGGAGGGTGACTAAACTATTTTATATGTGTGTGTTTATTTGTTTTATGTATGTGTGTGTGCGTGTGTGTGTCTGTCTGTTTGTATGTGTGTGTCTGTATATATATGTATATATATATATATATATATATATATATATATATATGTCTCTGTGTGTGTGCGTTTGTATGTATGTATTGTCTGTATGTATGTATGTATGTGTGTGTGTGGTGGCGTACACTCCAGGGTGGGCCGCCCTGCGGATCCCTGCGACCGGATGCCCACCACTATGTGTTGCGACCCCTGCCCACGCAGTGTAAAGGTCACAGATTAGTTTTCGCACCGGGGCCCCATAGATTGTGTGTACACCACTGTTAACCAGATATGTATTTCTAATTTTATAGTAATCCATTACAAAAGGTACATTCGGATGACAAAAAACAAGCAAGACAAGAATTTATTAAAGTCGCAGAGGGGCAGCTACTCCTACTGGACCCGAATGTCAAGTAGATATACAGATGTTCCAGGTCAGTGTAATGGTTTTGAATTCAGAGCTGTTTTCAGACATATTTAAAGGACCACTCTAGGCACCGAGACCGCTTCAGCTTAATGAAGTGGTCTGGGTGCCTGGTCCAGCTAGGGTTAGCCCATTTTTTTTATAAACATAGCAGTTTCAGAGAACTGCTATGTTTATAATAGGGTTAATCCAGCCTCCAAATCCTCTAGTGGCTGTCTCATTGACAGCCGCTAGAGGCGCTTGCGTGCTTCTCATTGTGAAAATCACAGTGAGAAGACGCAAGCGTCCATAGGAAAGCATTGTAAATGCTTTCCTATGAGACCGGCTCAATGCGCGCGCAGCTCCTGACGCGCGTGTGCATTCAGCCGAAGGGGAGGAGAGGAGGCGGAGAGGAGGGAGGAGAGCAAAATATATGTTATATACAAGTCCTTTTGAAACAATAGCAATATACTAAGAGTTTTTCATATGTTTCACCCTTTAGGGCATGTGACAAAAGGCCTTTTGTCACTGGTTTTTCATGTGACAAACTAGACTGTTCCCCTGACTTATGGAGAAGCCTGATTGCCAGCCTCCTTCCCCAAGATTATGGCCCTGGGGTGTATGGCCCTTACAAAACAGTTTATGGGCATGTTAAGAGCTTTTGTGGCAATGCCTCTTTAAAACTGTGTCCCCAGTGTCCCTCCTCAACCTCTCATCAGCCTGTGCTAAATTTTAACCGCATGGCGATTTTATTCTGTTTGTGGGATCTGAGCGCTGTTCGGATATATTGAGCGCTCAGATCCAAGCTATCTGGGGATAGGTTGAATGTGGGGTTTCTGTTCAGTGTAATGGGAATTATGTATTTTTGTGTATTTTTGCTGCTGTTGTGAATGGAGATATTTTCTGTACCTGGAGATAATTGGCTTACCACACCCAGTTAAGACAATTATCACCAGGATAGAGGAGAAGATAGATCGGTTGCAAAGCCTAACTCTGTGGAACTGGTTTGGGGCAGGAAAACCAAAATTGCAGTCGGTCAAAAAGGACTTCCATCTAACTTTTGAACCACTGGACCGATTTGTATGATATTGACATATGTTTGTATACTGTGGTTCAGAATATGTAAGTTTTTTTGTGAATGTGATGTATACTTTTAAAGTTATGAATATTGTGTAAAACTGTGTATTTTCCTGCCTGTGATAATTACATTAGCCCATTGTGTACAGTAATTCTATCACAGGCAGAGGGGAGGATTTTGCTGGAATGAATGGGAGTGTTTGACTGTATTGTAATGTTTTGATTGGTTGTTCCACAAGACCACGTGGGTGGTAACCTTGTGGGAAGAGTTGCATATAAGTGTCAATAAACCCTCAAACTGCTGAGTTCCTGTTTTACCCTCAACATAGAGCCTTGTCTCATATGTGGGGGTAAAGGCTGCATTTACACTGGGTATACACTGTATACTCCCTTGGCTATAATCACTAAGCTCTTTTAAGAGCTTGTTCCAGCCTGCTCTCTGAAGCAAGAGAGGTTCAATCTGCAGTGCTTATGGTGACCAGAGGAGTGCTTGGAGCCCTCGGGAAGCACTAGGAGCATCCATCAACGGAGGTACTCGGTTGGAGTACTCGAGCTCCGTTACAGGGCATAATTGTAAATTTTATGGTGAGGAAAATCTGTGCAGTGCCAGCAAAATGTCTAACATGCACTGATCAGCCACAACATTAAAACCACATGCTGAATATTGTGTAGGTCCTCTCCATTCTGCCAAAACAGCTCTGATGTATCGAGGCATGGATTCCACAAGACATCTGAATGTGTCTTGTGATATCTGGCACCAAGACATTAGCAGCAGATCCTTTAATTCCTTCAAGTTGTTAGGTGGAACCTCTTTGGAGCAGATTTGTTGTTTTACAACATCCCCATATCTCAATTATATTGAGATCTGGGGAATTTGGAGTCCAAGGCAGCACCTTGAACTTTTTGTCATGTTCCTCAAACTATTCCTGAATAATTTTTGCAGGGTATATTATCCTGCTGAAAGAGGCCACTGCAATCAGTGAACACGATTGCCATGAAGGGGTGTATGTGGTCTGCTACAATCTCTAGGTAGGTTTAGGTAGGCACATGTCAAAGTAACATTCACATGAATGCCAGGACCCAAGGTTAAAAGCAGAAAATTGCCCAGAGCATAACACTTGCTGACAGCCCAACTTCTTCCCATGATGAATACTGCTACAATCTCTTCCCTGGCCATCTACCTGATCTAAAAAAAAGGTGACACCTTTTTATTAGGTTTTTGATTTGATTATGTAGCAATTTGAAATACAGTCAGTGCCATCTTAACAACATTATGGGCCCCCAGGCAAAGCAGTACACTGGGGCCCTGCCTACACAACAACTCACAGGAATAAAAATGTAAATTATACATAAATTAAGCTTATATTTATTAGTACCTCCATCAAATGCAATACATGCATACAACACATACACACAGGCTGCTGAACACATTCACCCTGACTGCTGAGTACACGCACTCACATACACACAGACTGCTAAATACACACAGTTCACTGAATACATACACACAGTGTGTTGAATACACACACACACATACACACAAACACAACACAGGCTGCTGAATACATACACACAGTCCGCTGAATACACACAGACTGCTGAATACACACAGACTGTTTAATACACACACACATACAGCATTGAAGGATGCAGTTTATGTGTGTACGGGTGCTGTGTGTGTGTGTGTGTGTTGCAGAGTTGGTAGTGGTAGCAATTGTGTTTTTTTCTGGCTGCAGGCTGTGTGGAGTATTGCCTTGGTAACGAGCTGCAATGCTCCACATAACCTGCTCGCGGGAGGAAAGATCTGCCTCCCATGTCCCCTTCCCCTGAATCTGGGTTCTCTCTCCCTCTCTTTCCCTGATTGAAGGGCCTTTGGGCCAGTGAGGAATATCTCTGATCTCTTCACTGGAACACTGCAAGAAAACAGGGCCGGCTCTCCATGAGTCGGCAGGAGAGATCAAAGGATCTCCATTGTCAGCCTGAGCCCATGGGCAATGCTGTGGGGCCCCCAGGACTGTGGGGCCCATGGGCAACTGCCCAGCATGCCCATGCGGAAAGAAGGCCCTGCCCTGACCCGGATACCGCTTCACCGGTTGTCCTTCCATGCACCACTTTTTGTAGGTACTAAGACTGCAAACACCTCGCAAGACTTGCATTTTGAAGATGCTCTGACCCAGTTATCTAGCCATCAATATTTGGCCCTTGTCAAAGTCACTAAGATCATTTTGCTTGCACATTTTTCCTGCTTACAACACATAAAATTCAAGAACTTACTGTTCACTTGCTGCCCAATATGGTTGTAATGCTGTAGCTGATAAGTATGTAATTTCTGTGAAGCAGGGAGCAAAACTGAACATTCATTGCCCACCTATCA